TATATTTAAGAGTTGTCAATTCCAACATACAATATATCGCAATAGGATAAATACCAATCAAGAACAGAAATATGAAATTATCATAAATCATAAAAATCCCATAGAATCATGCAAAGAATTCACCATAACCTAAATTATAGATTTAGCTAGACATAATATAAAAGAGAACAAAAAAAAAATTAAACAAATCCATAGTTATTTGAAAAGTAAATATAAACTAGGGGAGTCTCTAGTGGATAAAAGATAAAAAAAGATTTTGATCCCAAGATGCCCTCCCAAAACTACAATAGTTGTCCGCGATTGGCTAACACCAAGATTAAAGATATAAAAATGTGAGAGGTGTGAAAAGATGTGATAAAAGATGTGAGATATAAGAGATGAAGAAAAGAGTGCTCAATCGCTATTCCTCACTTGGGTTCCTTATATAGGGTTTTAAAACCCTAGTATGTTTTTATGGTTAAATTTCTCGCAAGTAAGCATGACTATGCAAGGCCATAAGCATGATCATGCATATTGTCGAAGCACTTCCGTAGTGGCAGCTAGGGTATGGGCTTGTTGGCTGCAGCAAATGTGACATCCTTATTTTCTTTTTCTTAAAATATAATAATTTCTATTAAGATAAGAAGAATTAGAGTGAGTTTCTTATAATTATGGTGTAGAAATTTTTGAAAAATCTAAAACTTTCACTTTTCCCAATTAATTTTTAAAATGTAAGAAAGCATTCGAGACAAAGAAAAAAGTAATTATAATTGCATTATATTTTGCTAATTAAGACTACACATTGGCAGTAGAAGTAAGTAAACATACATTAGATTTCTTTCATATACAAGGTTTAATGTGTATAAGTCATGATCCAAATATATTAGGACTCAAAATTACATATTGTATTATCAAAATAATTTAAGTCCAAATGAACAGTATGGACCCACACCAAAAATATTGAAGGTACGATCCTAGTCATCGTCCTTAAACCAGTATTCTATCTCTACTAACTCTTTCGGAATCAGGTCTTTGTCATAAAAGGTCTCTGGTATTAGCGATAACTTTCGTGCCAGTGATATGCTCTCGGGTGAAAGTGGCTAATCTTCCTATCTAATCATGGCTATAGAAAGTATACATAAAATTCATGGCATCCAATGTCCAAATCGTCCCTCTATATACATACAGACATAACATGTGGTGTATTTTACCACCAACAGGAAAATTAAAGGAGATCATTATATCATACGGTGAACTCTATAGTACACACATCATCAAGTTTATTTTCATTAGATACAATAAACTTACAATAGCAAACCCTCTATCATTCTCTAAATATATAGTTTAATCTACTTTCTATACTAAACTCCGATAGCCTAATGAGTCTTGGTGAAGTGGTCATCCTTATTTTCTGAAAATTATTTGTAAGGATGAGTCCTCTTCTTACCATTAAAACATATCAAACATACAAGTATGAAATATTACAGTAGCAAACCTCATAACAACAAATACAGTACAACACATATAACGAATATCATAAGTCATGCATTGTAACTATAATAAGATCTATCTCTTTCTTGTATCCACACTCTTTCGTGCACTGTGATCATAGTTAATCGTTGCCTCTGACACTTTCTGAGGTCTTACACACTTATAGGTAAATCGTCACTGGTTAGCCCATGCACATGGATACACTTACACAGGAATGGACCCGTTAGCAAAAATATAGTCAAGAGTTCAGTTGAGAAATGAATGTGAGGCATGTGATGCTTTAGCTCTAGTTAGTTTATGCATAGTCAATATGAATAACATTCACCATCCTCATTTTTCAAAGATTTCCTAAATCATCTCTAAACTTTATACCCCTAGTGTATCTCTAACCATTTACATTAGTCTCTTTTATCACCACCACTTACAATACACTTTCTTCTATTCATTTTTCATCACTCATCTAAATATATCATGCCTAAAGTCTAGCGCCTCTGGACTTAGTCCAAATCAGATATTTCAAAGAAAAAGACATTTCAATCATTTAACATCAGCAACCAAACATGTATCACCCATCATAATAGACAACAAAACTTTCATTTAAATGAATATTCATGAGACAAATACACACAACATTACATTTTCATGGTTATAGTTATATTCAATGTTTTAATAATGGGATAAAGCTCTCCTTACCTCAATGAGGAGATTTTCTAGAAGATGCAAGGAAGATAGTATTCAAAGGATCAAACTCTTCTACATATATTACAAAATAGAGCACCTTTGAGAAGAGAGAAAAATAGAGTAATAGAAATAAGATTGGAGAATTGAGACCCAGGGAACTTACTTGTGATTGAGTGGAAAGGAAGTCCGAGTTCAAATTTGAAAGTAGTTTGGAGTTTAGTAGAGGTTTCTCTGAGGAAGGAAATGAGAAAATATAACACCTTAAATTTAATTCCAATTAAATAATAATTTCGCAAATCTGATAATCAAATTTTTTTTTTCATAAAAGATTTTGAAATAAGTGAAGGGTTACAAATTAATATCAAGTAACTGCTATAGGACTAGTTCAATTACAACATTTTTAAAATAAATTCTATGTCCTATAGCAGTCCATTCGTCCCTTCATTGAGTTTGGTGCTGATTGCCTTGATTACCTGAAAAATGAATGTAAGGATGAGTACTCTACACTACCAAAACATACAATAAAGCATAAAGTCTCACCTCCAACATATTTCTAATACATTAAACAAATACAAACACAAACAACATTATCACATCCATAAGCACAATTCCTGATCCCATATATACGCATGCCAACTACACTCATATTGACATTGTGTTGACAGATTTACACCATGAATGGTCGTCGGTTACCCCCACCTCATGGATACCACGTGGACAGTAACGGGTCGCTCAACAAAGGTAATGGTCAGAGGTCTAGTCAGGAAGAGAGTGTGTGACCTATGGTGCACCTGTTCCACAGTCGGTGTCACCACCACTCCCTTTTTCCCAAGGTATTTCTACCGTCCTCATCTCCCACAGCCCCAGTGTATCACTGAACCATTCACATCACATGACAACGGCATTACACACCCCAGTCACACACATTTCAGTATACGGCACATAGCCCACATTTTATTTTCACAACACACACAACACACAGTTCACAATTCATTCAAGACACACGGTCCCTAACCTATTTCCATTTATATTACACGGCCCTCGGGCCCACATTTCACACAATATTCATTCAATTTTTTTGGCACGAGTGCCCACACTCATTCACGACATCCAATACATAATTCACATCACATATCTTAGCAACATCACAACATTCCACAGAATAACAGTAAATTACACATAAAAGAGTAGGGTAGAGTCCCCTTTTACCTCGAATTGAAGACCCACGCTCAAAGTCGACCACGAGAGTGTTCTCCACACAGATCTTGGCCTAAACACACGGTTAATTTCCATGAGAACCCCATAACTCACCCAAAGTCAGAGAAAAGGAAGGAAAACTGAAACCCTAACCATTAAAACTCACCTCCAAGCGTTCTCCACACGGATTCAACCTTCAATCAAGCTCCAGAACGACTTTGGAGGCAATTTAATCGGTGGAATAGGGTTTGAGAGTGAGAGAATCGAAGGGATTTCAAAGGGAGAGGGAAAAATTACTCTCCCCAAATTCTAGCCCCCTTTAAATCCTTTTCTGGTCGCGACACTCTCGCTACAGCGAAAATATCAGAGAAAACTGCACTCTAGTTTCTGCAGAATCTCGTTACAGCGAGACTACACCTAGAAATGCACTCTAAACTGTCGCTCTCTTGCTACAGCGAGAAAGTGACAGTTTTAGTCTTTCCTCCCAGAGCCCTCTCGCTACATCGAGAATCCTCTTGCTGCAGCGAAAACAGCCCAGTATCATGCCCTACACTTAGGCACTTAGCCCATTTCAGCCCTAACCAGTCATGCATACACGTATATACATACACACATGAAAATACATTTAGATTTATATAATTATCAATAATTAATATTACAAAATTCGGAGCGTTACAGAGAACAGAGAAAAAAGTAAGTAAGGAGTTGTTTGGCTTACAATATAAGTTTTAAAATAGAAAATTTTTTAAATACTCTTTTTAGCTTGCAAATTCTATCTTGATGAGCGGACTCTCGGTTGAGCGAGACACATTCTCGCATGGGCATGAACACTAGATAAAGAATTATATTGCTTTTCTAATAATTTCACTTAAGCGAGATTCGATCTAAAGAACTCCCACTTTTCTTATGCCTTTTCGCCTGAGTGAGAAGACAGTTGGGATGTTGTTATCCCTTCTTGCCTGAGCGAGACTCACATTGCTTGAGCAAAAATGCTCTGGAGCGCCTGATCTAGAAAATGCTGTCTTGCTTGAGTGAGATCCTTTGCAACCTCTACAATTCTAAAGTTATCTATCAATTAAAAGAAATGCAATAATAAATAAAATAATTATGTAATATTAAAAAGAGAATGTTACAACGAAGCCTTATTTTTCATCCAATTTGAATAAAAAATGCACCTAAAAATCTAATTATGTTCTGTAATCAATATATAAATTAATGCAAAATTCAAATAAAATAATGGTTATACATAAATATATAAGTTATAAAAGTATGTCAAAATACAAACTTATCCCCATCTTATATCATTGATTAAGTATTGTGATAAAAGAATAAAATAATCTTAATATATAAATATATAAAGAAGAAAACTTTTAAAGTTATTTATACGATGTAGTTCTCCTAAACTTAAGTTGAAAGGATTAAATAATACATAATATAATGATTTAAAGTTCACTCGTGTATTTATAGGTTATTTAACATAATAAACTTATATTTTATTATTTATTTTTAACATCTAAAATTAAAATAATTAATTTTTATTATTTTTGTGACTATATTTTTAAATTTATAATTTAAAGAATTTATTTGAGTGAGGAAATTTTCACTTTACCGAAGAAAATTTTAAAGATAAATGAGGTAACTTGTCCGGTGACCATTGCTGAATTATCCTTTCAGAAAGAACCACAACCGTTCAAAGTCTGACTTCATTTAGTGCCTCTAGGCAAAGAAAGAACCAACCATCGTTCCAGCCGTCGTTGCTTCCAATTCCATGCATGGCCTGGCCTGTCTTCCCGTCACACCCAACCCAAGCCCACAACCCGCCCATCCCAAACCCCAAAGCGGCGCAAACTCTCCCAACCTCACACCAAACCAATTCCCGAACCTGCACACCGCCCCAACCCACCACATCTCGTTGCTCTGCAAAGATGGCCGAATCCGCGAAGCCGTCGAGTCCCTAACCGAATTCCAAAGCAGAAACGTCCACGTAGGACCCGACATTTACGGAACACTCCTTCAGGGATGCGTCTACGAAAGAGCCCTCCACCTGGGTCTCCAAATCCACGCCCACGTCATAAAAAAGGGTCACTCTTTCACTCACAACGAGTTCCTCCACACAAAGTTACTCATTCTGTACGCCAAATGCGGTGTATCCGACGTGGCAAACCACCTCTTCCGCAATTTGTGGAAACAGAACGTCTTCTCTTGGGCCGCTCTCATTGGGTTACACACCCGAACGGGTCGTTGCGTAGAAGCGCTTTTGAGTTACGTTCAAATGCAAGAGAACGGGTTCTTACCCGACAACTTTGTTGTTCCCAACGCTTTGAAGGCTTGCGGGGTTCTTGGGTGGGTTAAGTTTGGGAAGGGAGTTCATGGGTTTGCTGTGAAGACAATGGGCTTCCCCAAGTGTGTCTACGTTGCGACTAGTCTTGTGGATATGTATGGCAAGTGTGGGTTTTTGGAGGATGCAGAGAAGGTGTTTGATGGTATGGTTCAGAAGAACGTTGTTGCTTGGAACTCTATGATTGTGACTTATGCACAGAATGGAATGAACATGGATGCAATTAGGCTCTTTTTGGAGATGAGGTTGCAGCGAGTTGAACTAACTTCGGTTGCTTTGTCAGGTTTTCTTTCCGCCTGTGCTAATTCGGAGGCTGTCGGTGAAGGAAGACAAGGGCACGGTCTTGCTGTTTTGGGAGGGCTGGAATTGGATAACATTTTGGGTAGCTCGATTATGAACTTCTATTTCAAGGTTGGTTTGGTTGAGAATGCCGAGGTGGTTTTTAGAAATGTGGCGATGAAAGATGTGGTGACGTGGAATTTGATTATATCTGGTTATGTGCAGTTTGGGCTGGTTGAGAAGGCGCTTGAGATGTGCTGTCGTATGAGAGAAGAGAATTTGAGGTTTGACTGTGTGACATTGTCGTCTTTGTTGACCGTTGCTGCGAATTCAAGAGATGTAGGGTTGGGGATGAAGGGACACGGGTATTGTGTTAAGAACAATTTCGAGTCTGATGTGGTTGTTTTAAGTGGCATGATTGATATGTACGCTAAATGTGGGAGAATGGATTATGCGAGAAGAGTTTTTGATTCTGCTGCAAAAAAGGATATGGTGTTGTGGAATACAATGTTGGCAGCTTTTGCAGAGCAGGGGCTGAGTGGCGAGGCCTTGAAGTTGTTCGTTCAAATGCAGCTGGAGAGCGTTCCCCCGGATGTGGTTTCTTGGAATTCTGTGATTTACGGTTTCTTAAGAAATGGTCAGGTTGGTGAGGCTCGAAACATGTTTTCAGAAATGTGCTCCTCAGGTGTTAAGCCTAATTTGATCACGTGGACGACCATGATCTGTGGTCTGGCTCAGAATGGTCTTGGCTATGATGCCATCATGGTTTTCCGGGAAATGCAGGATGTGGGAATCAGACCTAGTTGCATAAGCATAACTTCTGCACTCTCCGCTTGCACTAATATGGCATTGTTAAAATATGGAAGGGCAATTCATGGATATGTTATGAGGCATTACTTGTCTCTTTCTCTTCCTATCACAACCTCTATAATGGATATGTATGCTAAATGTGGAACTTTGGATAATGCAAAGTGTGTTTTCAATGTGTGTTCAACAAAGGAATTGCCTGTATACAATGCAATGATATCTGCATATGCATCACATGGTCAGGCTAAGGAAGCCCTTGCGCTTTTTAAACAATTAGAGAAAGAAGGAATAGTGCCAGATCACATAACCCTTACTAGTGTCTTGTCAGCATGCAGCCATGGGGGATTGGTGGAGGAGGGCATAAAGCTTTTCAAATATATGGTCTCTGAACTCCGAATGAAGCCAAGTGAGGAACATTATGGTTGTTTAATCAAACTTCTAGCTAACAATGGCCAGTTGGACGAAGCTCTTAGGACTATTTTGACAATGCCAATCCATCCAGATGCTCATATATTAGGATCTTTGCTTGCGGCTTGTGAACAAAATCATGAGATTGAACTTGCAGATTATATAGCAAAATGGTTATTCAGTATGGACCCAGATAATTCAGGGAATTATGTGGCACTTTCAAATGTATATGCAACTGTAGGTAAATGGGAAAAAGTGTCAAACATAAGGAGCTTAATGAAAGAAAAGGGTCTAAGAAAGATTCCTGGCTGTAGCTGGATAGAAGTTGGACAAGAACTTCATGTATTTATTGCCAGCGAGAGATCGCATCCTACAACACAGGAGATTTATATGATATTGGATTTGTTGGGATTTGAAATGCATTATGCAAAATATTCCCCTTATAGTGCTAAGCCAACATCCTCCGCTTGTAACACAGGTGCCTTGACTTCTGCGGTGGAACTTTAAAAGTAACTAACGTTCTACCAAATTCATCAATGGTATCGAAGAAAAAGTAAAGGATGTAAATAAAGAGCTTTAAGAGATGTATATCCTAACTCCGGGAGTGCTTGACACCCTTTATAGTTTAAACATGGATCTATTTCAGGTCAGGGAATCCTCCATCTAAAATTATCTCAAGCATTGATGCAGTTTGGGGTCAATATGGCCATTTAACATCCATGTTTATTTAATAATAGGAAAAGAAGGCTCCTCCTACCATACATATAACTCCATATTCTAGCCCCTAGCATCACTGGAAATACATTGACCATCTAATGTACACGTCCTTGTCTGCTTTCCATCTCATTTTAAGCAGTACCATATTTTAATATTTAATATTTATAAAAGAATGGAGACACCATAGTGAACCAAGACACGATACCTTTATGCCTTTGCAGTTTTCTTCTGGTTTTAGTACCGAACTTGGGTAGTCTGCTTTGTGTTTGTTAGAAAGACTAATAGTGTGAGAAACTGCTTTGGCTGGATCCAAATGCTATCCCCAATGATAACGAGGAGTTGGCAGCTGTGTAAGTTATTTTCTGGGCTTTCAATTTTTAGATTGCTGTGGACATTTACTTTTCTAATGTAAAGAAAGAGAAGGGCTGTCTATTATGTATCACGTGAGGTAAGAAAGGCTAAAGAGGGTCAATTTGGTTTAAACCGTAGTTATCAATCTCAGTTAGCGAACTTTAGCGAGCGGTTGGCGTCCAAAATGCTAAAGTGGAAGAATGCACAGCAGGATGACCACTATGGAAATTTTAGGGATTTTTTCATAAATAAAATTAATTAATTAATGGTTAGACTTGAAAAAGTTTACTTAAATGTCTTAATTTGTGTTATATAAAAGTTAATTTTAATTAAATTTTACATAAATAAAAAGTTGATTTTGATTGACTTTTATTTACTGTATTGTCACACTACCCGTTGTTATTGTTTTCATTGTAAAAATTAATTTAAATCAAATTTACTATTACATAAACGTCAATTTGAATTGACTTTATTATTATATATTACATGTAAGCAATAAACTTTTTATTTATGCAAAAGACCTCCAATATTAAAATCTCATTTAAATTGTCATGAACTATTTTATCTGCATACATTTGAAAATTTTCCAAAGTCTGCTTTATCAAGCTCACCACAATGATCGAATTAATTTTTTTCATGCTTTCACACATACCTATCTAATGTATTAAGTTTTTGCATATATTTGGTGATAAATTTTCATGCGCAATCTTTAATGTATATTAGGCATCACAACCTTTTGACCTTTCAAATATACATACATAAAACATAGAAATTTGAATGAAGACAATAAAATGTCATTTTGTTGTACTACATCTAATTAAGTTCATACTGGAAAGCAAAGTTGCAATTTGATATTAACATTGCGCAAGCATGCATTTAAGTCTAATGGTACTTAGGCTAATATATGCGTGTGTAATGCTAAAGCACATAAGCACCTTGATAACAAAGTTGTTCATTTAATCAGATAGCCTTCCAAGTTATTCATTTATCTTGCAACTTAATAAAGTGTGGTAAAAGTTAAGGATACATATCCTTTCCAGTTTGCGCCAGAATTAGATGTTTGGTTCTTTATTTTGCTTAAGCAAGGAATTGTGTGCTTAAGTGAATTATTCCTTACGCGAGTACTAAGTGCATGGAGTAAATCTTGTATAGAAACCACTCAAAGGAGCCAATAATTTTGGCTTAAGTGAAAAAAGAAAAACTTAAACAAATCATAAATATTTAAAGCAAAAATTGGGTAGAGAGCATATCATTTCAAACATTTAAAATTGCTTAAGCGAAATAAAAATAGTTTAAGTGAATTTGATTTTGCTTAAGTGAGAGCAAGTTAACTTAAGTAAAAATAGGACATAGACTAACGTTTATTAGTTTATGTGAAATGGCTTAAACGAATACATAATCGTTTAAGAAAATTGTGAATCATTTAAGCGAATAATGCAAAAATAATTGAAATATCACAGATAGACAAAATAAATATACAAAATAATATTACAATACACATTTACAATGTTTATATGATTATAGAAATAAAACTAAAATTGAACAAAATAAATAAGGTACAAAATGAAATTAAAGTTGATCAAGAATTGAACTAGTTGTATAACCCAAAAGTTCTTACAAAAAAACATAAATTCACAAAAAATTATACAATGAAGGAAGAAAATATTTTAATTTATATTTTTAAGTTTAATAAACTTACAATCAACAATGTAGTAAAAATAAATTGATTGTCTAAAGCATAAGAAAGATGATAAGATGAAGTTGTCGTACAATGTACGCACAAGGTTCAGAAGGGATAGGTTGATATTCCTAAAATATTAGCCAAATAAAAACCACATGGATTAATATATGTACCTTAGAGTACTAGCTTTGTGATTAACCTCTCATTGGAATATTCTTTTTCCTTTTTTCCTTGTAGTTTATCCAACTTTTGAATTGTCTTACCTATTCCTTTTTATGCTTGGTCATTGCTCGGAAGCATGAGGTTGTGTACCATCATTAATTATCAATATTGGGGCATTATGATTCGTGTGTCTCTTAGTATTTTGTGCTTATAATCGAAAGTGTGTGATTTGATGGCACACAACGTATACACTTTCATCCACTAAGTGAGAATATTTTTTTGAATTAGATACCTTAGATAAGAGTCCAATCATTTTAGAAATTAGTTGTCAGTATCTTTGTGTTATAGCAAGTTTAAGATCCCCATCAACCTCTATTCCTTTGACATTGTGTATAATGCTAGAACAACCTTTTCTTATCCATCTCTAAAAAATGTATTTTTCAAGAATAACTTTGACATCGTTTGCTTAAAAACCGTTCAATACATAGGAACAAAGTATACCAAATATTTCAAATTTTCTACAATTGTAACATGTATAGACTTTGACACATATGAAATGACATTCACCAAGATCTTTGTTGGTTGATTGTAATAATGACATATTCAAACATATATGAAGATTCAATACTTTTTAAAATGCAACAAGCCAATAATGCAATAAATTCTTATTGGAATAGGTCAAACACAATATATGGGAAAAATTTGCCCATTTGTATTAGTATGAAAGACATCTTATGTCTCAAGATTGCTAGCTTATGATAAGACTCATACACATAATTTAGTTCATTGTAACACTTGTCTTCAATAATATACTCAAAGTGTGGAAAGAATGCCAACATTAGACTTCATACAAGCTTTGAGATCAGAATTAAAATTTCACTTAATTGAGTACTTTGCATCTCAAGTGTGAAAACTTCCTCCATACAATAAGATGCCTATTTTACCTTTATGGTGTATATTGAGTTCATCTAATTATTGTAAAAAATATTGTACTATTGTACAATGTTGGTCTAAGCTTGCTCAAAGTCACTCAATGTATCAAAGTCATATATGCAATTTTTGAAGTCTCTTAAAAAATTACTTCCACCCTTCATCAAATTCTAAGGTATTTTTATTCCATTTTGCATCAAGTATCATGTGCACAAAGCATTACTTTCAGAAAGGCTAATCCGTGGCTTGATCTTGGTTAGAATATAGTTATTGGGTTTTTCCTGATTGTGTATTTTTAAGAATGTATCAAATAACCATTTAAAAGATCCTATCATTTCATCATATAGCAAAGTTGCACCAAATATCACAATACCTCTATAATGGTTAAAACTTGAGAACAATGCAAGATACTTATTTGAATGATAAGTGCAATATGTAGTGTCCAAAGAAATAATTTCACCAAATATGAGTAATCTAATACCATATTTGCATCAACCCAAAATACATTTGTTATTTTTCATCTACATCCATCTGGTATGCATGAAGAATGATGTGTTATTTAATAATTGGCGTTGAAAATATTGCATCAGAAAACTAACTTTTCTATAAACTGTACTTCTTTGTCTTCTTGCCTTGAGGTGATTCTTTGCATCCAACTTAATATATCCCACAATAGCTCTATGGCTTGTAAGTGTGATGGCAAGTTAATATGATGACTTTTGTTGTAGTTCAAAATTCTGAGTCATATCAATCTCATATGCTTGAATCTCAGTTATCTTACAATGTGAAGCGGTATGTGAGTTGTCTCCTCAAGTTGTAACAGATAATTATGATCTTTTACAAACTCATGTATAACAAACTTTCTTTTCTTGCCTAAAGACACTCCAATTTTTATACAATAATTAATTTTGGTCTTAACTCTATGTTTAGCAATTTAGGAATCTCTTTTATCTCCACTTTGAAAGCCTTCTTTACAACAGACATATGTATATGAAGTGATAGCTCTATCTTCCTTTCGCTTATTGAAATATTGCTTTCTAATTCCAAAGCCTGTACTCCTACCATATCCACTCTAAAATTTAAATGTTTCTTCTACACTATTAAACTCTAACTCAACTCTTGGCTTGCATTTCATAATTTTTGTGATAATTTTTTCTTAAAAAACAAAAATTTAAGGATATTTCAATATTTATTTTATATTCCACCATTATTCATAATTTTTTTTTGAATAGAAAACCATACTCGACATCATTTATTTGTTGAACTACTCGACAAAATATAAACTAAGCCTTATTGGAATAATGCCAATAGACCTCTAAGTAGGGATAGAAATAGATTAGGTTAGGCTAGACTTTGTATAGGCCTAACCTACTTAATAATTTTGAAGCCTAAGCTTGACATATTATCTATCATAAGCTTTTTATTAAGCCTAACTTGACCTTTTTAAAAGTCTGCTTTGACCTATTAGTCTATTCAATGGCCTATTTCGTATTAAGACTTTCAATAATTCATTAAGCTTTTTTATAAATATGTTATTAATTGAGTTCAATCATTATTGATCATTCAAAAGTGCAAATATAATAAATACAATAATTTACAAAATGTTCATCAAAGAGTGTAGGACTTAGAATAATAATTACATAATAAAAAATACTAAATCCCAAAGCAGTCATGATCTATATTCAAAATACTGAGGAGTAGGTACTAATCATCACCATGCCATCCCTCAATCTTCGTTAGATCCTCGAAATCTAGATCCTCATAATCTCCAAGATAGGGATCACCAGAGTCAATCTGTGACCTCAACACCTGGGAAAAGTAACTCGAGTCAGTTTTCCGAGATGATCATGGTCACGGTAAATGCACAAGTAAGTTACAGCTGTCGAAGTCCTAATCCTACCTCTATAAATATATATACATAGAGTATGATGGATCCTATTATTTACAGGAAAGTCTAAGGGAATACTATAATACAATTTTATTTCCAAAATATAAATACGGATGAGTACATCATTACAGTAAATGGCCAGCTTAAAATAGCAAGTTCTTTGATACTTATTAAACACATAACTTAGTCTACAATGTATAGAACTATCTATCAAGGATGAGCATTTATTATACTATTTACAAACCATGTTATAGATTATAACATAATAGAAAACATAATTAATTCAACAACCAATTTACAGAACAACCATAATCATATAGTCACAACACACAAATTTGTCATAAATCATTTAATTTCTCTCTTTCAAACATGTACTTTCAGTGCACTATGATCACAGAAATACGACGCCTTCAACATTTCTCGAGGTCTTACTCAACTAGGTAAATAGTCATCAATTAGTCCATGCACATAGATACAACGTATACAATTATGGGTCCCTTAGTAAAGATATAGTCAAGAGTCTAGTTAGGAAACGAGTGTGAGGTTATGTGACACATTCGTTCTTAGAAAAAGTGTGTACACATACGCGATCACTACCCTACATTTCTCCCAAATTTTCCCTTGTCTTCAAACTCTATATCCCCAGTGTATCTCTGTAACTATTCATACTCGATTCATTCTATATTTAGAACTTATACTCATCCCAAGAATCCTTTCATAAGATCGTGCTTAGTAAAGCACTTCTGGACTAAATTCACGTTACTTATAACATCTTAATATAGTTTCAATCAGTAAGTCATTTAGACCAGTATCATTAATCTTTTATTGCAGTCACAAAATCCTCTTATACATTTCTCGACATATAGTCTATACATTTCAAATCAACAAGTGCAATATTATACTTTATCATAACATCTCATTATATATTTCATGTAATTACAACATAATCACTCAATCCAAACAACTAAAAACACATCATAAATTTTCCTTCATAAATTCCATTATTCAAACAAATATTATGTAATAATGCTCCTATGAGTACAAAATATACAATTTAATAAAAGGGTAAAATAGAGCTTTCCTTACTTCGAAGTGAGAATTTAGATAGTGATTGATGAAGGATTTTAGTTCAACAACAGAAGTTTTCCCTGGGTATTAAGAGATATTCTTGAGAAATAAAGAACAAGAGAAACGAACAGAGAAACTTACTTAGAGTTGTTTAGATTTGACGTATAATTTCGGATTCGAGGAGTAATTGGAGTTGAAAGAGGTTTTATGTGAGAGAAAGAAGTAAGAGTTTAGAGAAAGTTGAGATAAGACATAAGGTTTGGAGTGAAATGGAATTTCCATGCTGAAAATCTCTTAAATACCTTTTAGCTTGACACACTCTTGCTTGAGCGACATAATTCTTGCCTGAGTGAGATATATCTTGTCTGGATGAAAACACCAGACAATGGTCTCCCCAAACATTTTTTGATATTCTCGCTTGAGCGGGGTCATGCTCACCTGAGCGAGACAAT